GTTACATCATCACCTTGTGTGCATGTAGTGCATGGATTGTTACATCATCACCTTGTGMGCGTGTAGTCCAWRGATCGTTAGATCATCACCTTGTGCGCGTGTAGTCCAAAGATCGTTATATCATCACCTTGTGTGCGTGTAGTCCAAAGATCGTTAGATCATAATTGTCCTTGTTCAAGAATTATTTTRTTTGTATTAGCAGACGGACTCCAGCAGCAGTTTTGTGGCAGACAACAAGATCAATATTCTTGAAACAAGCAATGACTCAATTGGCCTTTCATTAGAAAAGCTTCGTCATATTTATCATCTAAAAGTAGCGCATTACAAACAAGAAGCTGAAGCAGCAACAATGAATGTACATCTACTTTCTGACAAACTTACCGCAGAGACTACTGCAAGAGTAGAAGCTCAGGTAGGACTTCTTGAGAGTATTGCGTTAGAACTTGTTTTTCGAGTTGTACGAAATTTAACTAAACCCTGCTAATATCGTATCGYTTGAACCCTTTTTCAGAAACAACTTGAAGCGGTCCTAAAACAAAACAAAGAGCTGATCTCGACTGTACAGCAGCTCGTAGCACAAGTACACAACTTACACTCTCAACGCCACAACTTCTCTACTCCACACAGTTTACGACTTAGTTCAAATAGTACATCTTCATCTGTCTCTTCAACACCTACAGCAACRCCTAAAAAGATCCCTCTAAATAATCCATCAGGTAATCTGAGAACTCTGTTCAAATTCGAGTCTTACGTATCCATCCTGTGTACCGTTCTGTATCATGATGTATTTATCCCACGCCATAGAAAATAAAGCCAATCAGAATGCAGAAATGCCGTCATTGGTATTTCACTTTTCCTTCCCATCAAACTCCTCCGACACGTCTACGCATTTGTATTTTCTATGGTGTGGGATAAAATAAATAATGCTTTCTTGTGACACRCCATGGAATATCCCACTTGTCACTTGTATATAATAGTTATACAATACTTTCTTGTGGTACACCATGGAATATCCCACTTGTCACTTGTATATAATAGTTATACAATGCTTTCTCGTGACACACCATGGAATATCCCACTTGTCACTTGCATATAATAGT